CTGACAGGTGTACTCCAAGAACACCCATAAAATCATCTTAGTTAAGAACTGTTTTTACTTGTTCTAAACATTTATCTATTAAATTTAATCAGATTAAAGCTTAACATTAAGAACATGCATTGCAAATGCTCTTACAACCTTGCCAATCCAAAAGTCCCTTTTTGTTTTTTTAATCAATTTAAAAAACATTTAAAAAATAAATATATAAAAGATGGGTGAATAAAATATAGATGCAACAATTTGCTTCGAAGGGGGATGAACTAAATATAGCAAAAGAATAAAAAAAATGAGGAAAGGTCCAGATGTGGTCATGTGAGCCCCCATCCCACTTGGCCCCCTTGGTGGGTCCCACTTAATGCAACCCATTGGTTTTCATTTGTATTGTTTTTATTTTTCTCTCGTCAAAACTCTGACTTAAAAAATTATTTTTATTCTCTTCTCTGGCTTTTTTTTGGTTATTTTTATTTTGTCGATCTCTGACTCTTCTCTGTAGGTCAATGTAACAAAAATGAAAATTTTAGAAATATAAAATTTAATTATATTATTAATTTTTATTAAAATACTATTTTTATTTATTTTTTAGAGACTCTATGAAATTGTAATGAATGGACATGCTCTAAAATATCGTTATTTAGTCTGACTTTTTCTCCTCTAAGCATCTAGAATCTCAAAATTTCTAGAGTTATTTTCTGTCTTTTGATGGATTTCCAACCAAAAGAATACGTTATCAATATGTTCTCGTTTTCAATTTACTAACGAGTCATCAAATATATAAAATACGGAATTTTTTCTTACAACATAATATTTAGTGACGTGGAACTACTTTGCTAAACTTTTTACATAGAAGTTAGATCTAATATGTCAATATTCTTATGAATATAATCTAGAGTTAGATGTTTGACCATGTTTAGTCTATATGGTAATAATATACGGATCTTTTTTTAGGAAACTATGACTTACATAGCAAAAAGGGTTTGGTTATTCTAGAAAAAAAAATTTCAACTATGATCAAGTAGATATTGTACGTGGTAATGTAAGAAAATGTACATCGTTGAAATATGTTTCCTAAAACTGTACACAACAAACAAACGTACGAAAAAGATAGAAAAGCCGTAGTACTACATATATTTTGGTCTGCCCACAGAAACTTCCTTCAAAGTTGGTTTTGCCATTCTTGTAATCGTTGACCCCACCTTTCCATTTTTCTTGATGTTTATTCATTTTCATCTTCATTTAATAAATGAACCACATTTAACTTCAAAATTAGATACAAATAATAATAACATGTACATGCACTTGCCTCGTCAATTCCTCATCAAGTGTATATATAGACGACATTTCCTTTTAAAAAAAAGGGCAACAACGTCATCCAAATCTCTCTCACCTAATTTGTGCTTCTCATTTTCGTCAGAATATTCAAGAAACTGAAACAAATAAAATGGTATCTAGTTGCAAAGACGAGAGTTCTTCAACTTTCGAATTTTTAGCCACCGCCAAGAAGTTCT